GCATACTGTTGAACGATTCTTATACAACTAGACATCAGTTAAATGAATGCTGGCTGGTGACAGTCATATTTCTCACAGTTAGAAAGAAAGCTACAAATAAACAAGGGAGCAAGGCTAGAAAGATCCTTGTAGCAATGAATCAGAATTGGATGCATCACTATTAATTCATGCTTACCTTAACAGAGATACAGATGGTTACATACAGACACATTTGTAGATAATGTGTATATACATGGGTATATATACATGTATATTTATCTCTTGTCTGCTCAGTAGGACTATAAGCAATGGCACCACAACAGCAATGAGCATACCTAGTACCACAGATCTTGATATCTAATACCACCCTCTAACAAGAAAACCAGGTTCATGAAGAGATGGTAGTTTCAGGGACAAGAAAGACGCAAAGTAACCCTGAGCATCTTGTAGAAAGCAAAAGTAAAGAAGTATTTTCACACACACACACACGCACGCACACACACACACACACAGAGAGAGAGAGAGAGAGAGAGAGAGACAGAGAGAGAGAGACAGAGAGAGAGAGAAAGGGAAACAGAGAAATATAGATACTTTTTTAAAGAAAGGAATGGTAAAGCGTTGGAACCATGATAGCTAATTTAAGAGTGCAACCAAAGAAGCTGATACAGAAACATTGCAGAGAAATACTATCAGTTTTTGACTTACTTAAATGTGAAGACTAGGAGGAAGGCAAGTGCCCTAAAAGTGCCATTCTCCATCTCAAACTTCCATGATGTCATCCTAAAAAGCATATTACAGCCTCTTAGTATTACAAGTTCCGTTTAATTTTTCTCAACGCGGATCTTTTTCTGCAAGTAGTACTTTTAACCTCTTCTTCTGCACTGACAGCTTCTACTTTGTCTTTATTAAACCCTTCCAAACTCTGACACCACTCCACTATGCCTCATTATAGTAAATGAAACCTTTACCCTAGGAGGGCATGGAATGAGAGGGAGAAGTGTGGTGAGGAAGAGCACATGAGAGTAAAGGAAAACCAATGTGGCTAAAATTAAGAAGGTCAAATAAAGACTGGCTCTGAAAGCAGTTGGATAACTAGACAAGAAATTGAATACCTGTCTGAATGTGAATCCTATTTACAGTGACAAGAAAAACGAGAGAAGCCACTAAGTGTAGTTGTTGGGAGGAAAGATTAGGTCAATTATAGACCCGTTCATTTGAGATGGCTGTGAGAAATCTAAAAAACAGATATAGGAAGAAGTTGGATATTCAGGTTTTCAGCGAGGAAACAAACAAACAAACAAGATCTAGGCTTCAGTTGTATATCGCAGAGCCATCATTCCCTAGGTATATAGTTGAAGCCAATGTTTAGGTACTTCTCTTATGTTCTCTAAAATCTTTCCATGGTATTCTCCATTGCTCCTTTAAGCACATGATATAGTAATTTACTCTCTTTATTTTTTCATTAAACGCTATGAGTCTTAAGGGTAACTTGAAGAAATTCTTTGAGGGCAGGATTGGGTCTTATTTGTCTTTATCTCTCCAGCACATTGTACAATATTTATTTAATAAATAAATTCATCATTTCACATAAACTGCCTAAGTAGAAATTCTGTGGGTAAAAAAAAATCAGCCATAAATTAAGGTAAATAAGTATTATAATTCATATATTATGAAACATAAAATAAGTTCTGAATATTTACATTACTTGCTCACTGTGACATAGAAGTTACAGAGTTGAGGGTAGTAATCATCTTATTACTTTTATTTTTATTTCTTGGCTATACATTTCTTAATTATACTACTGAGGATTTAATTTTCAATACTTAAGTATGTAGGATTCCTAGTAGAGTACTGTTTCATTAGGCTCTTTAGTTTATTATTAATACAAATGCTACAAAATATATATAACATTGTAAATGAGTTGTCTTTTCTAATGTGTCTAGAGTAAGCTGCACTAAGGATATACAGGCTTCGAATTTCTTCTGAAGTATGGAAGATGGTTAACCAACATCCACTTGGGAATGAATGAATCCCAATCTAAAAATCCTTATTTCCAAAACACATATAATTACAATATCTTACCAAATACCATGTCGGTGTTTAACAATTTTATCTGTAGAGCAAATCAAGAAGTCAAATAAATCAAGCGTTGTAGGGCATTATAGCTTAAGTATGGTTATGGTTTTCCTAAATATGTTTCTGGGAATTAATCATTCTTGTATAAAACCTGAGTGAGATTAACGTGGCCAGAGGAGTCAAAGGTAATGAATAACACCCTGGGGTGGTTAACTTGCTGGTCCTCTTTTTCATCCTGATGTTTTAAAAACTTATCAGTAATAGAAAGTATAAAAAAGTATTAAAAAATTCTAGGCAAATTTCATTTTAGGAAATATCTAGAATATGCTGATGATAATTTCTCTGTCGGAATATTTTAAGCATTTTGAAGAATAATTAATTTTTATAGAGACGGAGGTAACCATTGCTTAGCAAATAATTGCTGATGTGTAGTTAATTACCAGTTATTTTTATACAAGCAAAATAATTTTGAATGTTTTATGTGATTATATTTTTAAATAATTATTTTATTTCCTTCCTAATTTAATAAACTTCATTAACACTTTTCACAGCATAACAGGTGTTTTGCCTATAGTAAGTTATAACCAATGGATGAAGATTTCAAAGTTATTATTTGAATTTTTATCATAATTTTTAGCATGGTTCCATGATTTTATTTTATTTTTTAGCATTATTACCTTCTCAGCAAACAAGAACAATGTTAAAGCAATTCTATAAAATTTTATCTAAATTTTGGAGAGTGGGTCTTACTTCTTACTTATATAATCCACTGGTAGGGTCAATAAATCTTTGATGACTTTGCAATTTGTTCTTGTGTATAAAATAGGACACAATGGTAAGTTGTATAAATTGCACATGTTTAAAAATTTTTTATATATATTGTGCTTGAAATCTGTTTTCTTCTTCCTATGACCTCTACATCTTAACTGCTTGCTTATTCTTCTATTTTTTTTTCCATATTCATTCTTCCTCCTAAATACCTAGATTGCCCTGTCCTGAATATTTACTTATGTAGCTGCCTCCTGATAATACCAGTAACTGATTAAACATCTGTGTTTGGGGCTCCTATTATGTATTATTGTAGTTGGACCAGAAAGTAATAGATTTTAAGTGTCAGGAACCATATCAAGTATCAATTCACAAACACATAACAAAGAAAGCATGAATTTATGTCCCAGCTTTGCTATAATTTCCTATATGACTGCCAGAAAATCATTGAACATAATCTGCCTTTCCTTTTTCTGATCTGTAATATGGTGATCATTAGACAATTTATTGGCTATTGATTAAATAAGACAATGTACAAAAAGCATAATATGATGCCTAGAAAATACCTGTAATATGTTCCTATAGTTATGATTTTCATTATTGTTTCATTCCTTTTAACAATGATTTTATCACTTGTGTTTCTGTAGTTAAGGTACAAATCTCTGAGAAATTATCAATTTGAAACTTTATTCTTTAGCCTTAGTGATGAAGCATAAATTCAAAGGAAGAGTTTAAGGAACAGGCACAGCATATGGAAGGTGTGACTTACGGTTGAGAAATGAGGTTCATGGTGTATTTTTAAGTGATCTAACTATGAAAAATATTGAAGCAAACTGTTTAATATTATATATTTATTTTTACCTCAGCATGAATGTTTGAGCTTAAAAAGAGCAGGAGATTACTGATATACTTTATAAGCTTATTTTAGCAAAAAGCTTACATCAGTTAAGTGAAATACATTAAAAATACATATTTAATACTTCCGCAAAAGGAAGAAAGGATTTTCTTATGAAAATATTTATGCCAGATGATTTGTTTGTCAGGAATGGTAAATGATACATGCAAACAATCTCCAACATGCAGTTTTTCTATCTCTTCTAATTAACCAGACCTTACATTGTTCCACCCAGAAAATCTTTAAACAAATGTTCAATTGTTCATTTAATACACAAATAATAATAGTTTACATGTATTGTGATTTTGAATGGCAGGCTCATGCATCTACTGAATCACAGAGCTGGGTTTTGAGCACAAGCTTGCTTTACTTTATAGTTCACATAAGCTATAGCGCCTCTAACTAAACTGTGTTATCTCTCATAAATTCATTTTCTCTTACTTATTTTTAGTTTTTGTTCAGAACTATATGCTTAGAGACATGAAAAAGAAATAGGAGAAATAAGTAGATATAAAAAAAGGCCAGAAGCAGAAAAAGTTAATATTGGACAGCAAACTAAGCAAAATGCAAGACTAAAGAGTCTAAAACTGATTTATGTACAGTCTACCTGCTCAAACATGTGCAGTGTGTGTTTCTGTGTGTGCAATTATTCTTGAAATGCAGTGCCTTAGCACTATAAAATATATAATCATTTTTCTTTCTTTTCCTGAATGTAACTGAACAAAAGGTTCAACATTGACATTCCATTTGGATTATAAGGGGAAGGACAATTCAAAGACAAAAGCCCATCAGAGAATACAAATTGCTTCTAAGTTCAAATGTAATAACCATTTGCAAGAACAGTTTGGGGATATCAACTGCCACATAGATTGCATTCACTTAAGGAGGACATCAAAGGAAACCACAGTTCTCACCACATCATGATTTATGGATTTTGCTTGAACACTTGTAATTACTTCTTTAGCATGAGAGGATGAGTACAGACACATGAGTTCCACCAAACTCAAATTCCTGAGAAAACAGGGCACTCGATTCTTTTTTACTGGTGGATTCTGAAGGGAATTATAGTAGTAAATAGGTCAAAATATTATTTCATGGCTCACACTGTAATGGACACAACTGTGCCAAGACAGGTACTGGTGCCGGTTTTTTGTTTTTTGTTTTTTGTTTTCAACCAGATATTAGCCTTCTAAATTCCCTCTGGTAAAATTTTGGGGAAAAAAAAAAATGCTAACAGAAATAAATAGGCGGGCTCGGTGAGTGGAGTCGGACCGCGGTGCTGATGGCGGGCCTCACAGAAAAGTTACCATGAACCGACTTTCCGGAATTCCCTTGGCGCTGCGGCCTCGTAGCAAAAGGAAACCGAGAGGAAGGCGACGACGATTGGCCTGCGGTGATGTTAGCGGGCAAGCACCTTCAGCCTTTAAGCCCAACCAGATGATTTGTCTGCAGGTTGGAGGCCTTCAGCGCATTTCACTAGACCTCTGTCTGTATCGGTCCAGTTAGCCAAGCTTTGATTAAGGATGACTTCCTTGTTTGCTCAAGAAATTCGCCTTTCTAAAAGACATGAAGAAATAGTATCACAAAGATTAATGTTACTTCAACAAATGGAGAATAAATTGGGCAATCAACACACAGAAAAGGCATCTCAGCTCCAAACAGTTGAGACTGCTTTTAAAAGGAATCTTAGTCTTTTAAAGGATATAGAAGCAGCAGAAAAGTCACTGCAGACCAGGATTCACCCAATTCCACGGCCTGAGGTGGTTTCTCTTGAGACTCGTTACTGGGCATCAGTAGAAGAATATATTCCCAAATGGGAACGGTTTCTTTTAGGAAAAGCACCATATCCTTTTGCTGTTGAAAATCAAAATGAAGCAGAAAATACCATTCAAAATGAGGCATAGCGATAACTTCTTCCCTTGGTATTTCGAAAAGCCTGTTTAATACAGCTGGGTGTTAAGGAGTATGTAGGTAATTGCAGGAAATTTAGCAATTAAATATGTTCATATTCTCCATTATGTCCTAAGTGACAGTGAAGATACGAGAATTTACTGGCAAGCCTCATGTTGTCACCTATTACCATTTCAAGGTCCCGAATGTGTTAAACACTAATATTAAAAAGTGGACTCTTTATTAAAAAAAAAAAAAAAAAAAAAAAAAAAATAGATATTTCTACTGAGAATTTTTACCTGAACAAAGGAGAGTTGATTATGTCTAAATAAAGTCAACTAATATTAACAATTATAGAGATGTGAAAAATTTCATAGGACTATAGGATGTCTCCATTTTGAGTAGAAAGAGTAATCATTGTTTTTTCTACCTTTAATGTGTAAAAATGCAAAAATTAAGAAATGCTTCTTGCCTTATTTACTTCCAAATGTTGTGTCAAATTCATTTTGATTTTCTGTCCAGATAAAATAGTTAAATTTAGAGGTTGTGGAAATTAGTTTAATGCACAAAGTTATAGAAAGCTATAATCTACTGATGTTTTATTTCAACCGCCATGGCACATTTATTTATGGCCAATTCCTGCATTCACAACATAAGACATGAGGGACACACAGAGAAATCCACATGGTTAGTTATGTTTTATCCAATGAGTACATTTATTCAAAATGTAACGTTTACCAATTCATTGTTTATCAATTATTTATTTGTTAATGTATACAAGTAATGTTGGGGTTCAGAACATGACAACCCTAAAGTATGCCACTTTGACATGCTGAGTACTTTGAACTGAAGGAGATTGGAAGGACCTTGGAAGTAAGGTCTTTCTGACCTTCTCTCATCTTCATGTTTGTCATCCTGATTTCTCCCAAAATAATGTTATAGAAAGTAGAATTCCTGTTCCCCAAGAGAGATGTACTAGTCAATTTTCACAGTGCTACAAAGAAAACCCTAGACTGAGTAATTTATAAAGAAAAGAGGTTTAATTGACTCCTATGTTGGCATGGCTTGGGAGGCCTCAGGAAGTTTACAATCATGGCTGAAGGGGAGAGGGAAGCAGGCACCTTCTTCACACAGTGGCAACAGAGAAGAGAAGGGTGAGCACTGCAAAAACTGACTACAAAAAATATTTAAAAAAAGTTGAGCAACATGGTACATGCCTGTAATCCCAGTTACTTGGGAGGATTTCTTGAGCCCAGGAGGCCAAGGCTTCAGTGAGTGGTGATCATTCCACTGAAAGTTAAAAATAAACTTGCCATATGACCCACTCGTTCTGCTCTTAGGTATCTACCCAAGAAAATGAAAAACACTTGTTTGCCACTGTTCATAGCAATATTGTTCATAACAGCTAAAAAGTAAAAGGAATCCAAATATCCATTAGCTAGTAAATTAATAAACAAAATGCAGTGGATACATACAGTGAATTCTATTCAGTAACCTAAATAGTGATCTACTGATTTAGAGCACGGAAACATTATGTTACACACAAAGGTTATATATTTTATTACTCTATTTATATGAAATGTCCCGAAAAAATATTTACAATAACTGACACAGAAACTGAGATTGACTATAATTCTTTCTGAGGGAACTTTCAGAATTATGGAAATACTCTAATACTGAATTGTGGTAACAGTGGCAAAATAGCAAGTTTAATAAAAATCACTGTAAATTATATACAGAGAAAAGATGAATTTTATAACATTAAAATTATACTTCCCCCAATTTGTTTTTAAACCAAGCCATAAAAGGGCAAAAAATTTTCCTCATTCACTGATGTTTCTGGAGAGACTGATCAGACTATAATGGGTTAACTAGAGGTAATGAAAAAATAAAGAAACTGGTTGTCATTCAAATAAATTACTGTCCAATTCTGTATATTTACATGTATATGTTATATACATATCTATATATGTAAACATATGTGTAAAAACTATAACATAGAGTAGTCTGACATATGCAATAGTACTCAATATGCACACTCACAAGATACTACTGATTTTTTGTTGTTTATATAAAAACTATCTACTTTAAAATACTAGCCCTTTTTAAATAGGTGGAACCTACAATTTTTACATGGGTTATTGCTGTTTGTTTTATAGCCTAGTTTACACACGTAGTTGGTGTCATTGTTTGGGTATACTTGCTTGTGTATGATTGTATATGTCTGTGTGTATAAATTTTTCAGTAATGTTTGAAAATATTATATTTTACATTTAAAATATATACATACTCTCTGCAGGCATTGTCACTATGAGTTACACTATTTAGCTTCTTTATACTGTTTTGTTGTGACTGGCGTATCTTTAATGAACAGACAGGAAAACTTTATCTCAATTTCCTTGTATACATTTTAAATTTTGTTGCGTCATATGTATAATAACATGATAACATTTTTTAACTCTAAGAAAATGATTTCAAAACGTTGTATTATTAAAAGATAACCTTGTTGATTTATTAAATTATATGTACTTCTTACCAACCTGCTTAGTCTGCTTAATTATGAAATACTCTTTAATGTTATATGTCTAAAAAAACTACATAAGGATCATTAATTTAGGAGATAAAGATAATGTTTGCACTAATTACCTTCATCCTGATCTCTTGTTTCTCATCCCAAATCAGAAGAATCCAATGATCTTGCGCTCTTTCTCAAAATGGATGTAACTTGGAATGGATATGAATATTATGTTTATGTCGTTCTTAGGCCAAGACATGATAATCAAAGAATACCATGAGAATTATCAGAGTCTAAACCAATAAAACTAGTGTTCAAGGATATTACTTGATGTTATTTGTCCAGCTTTTAGCAAAGCGTGGGCAGCTTTTTCTTGTCCATCTCCTTAAGACTATTACCACAGAACTAAGTAACTGGATCTTTTGGTTACACAGCTTTTATCTGCTCCAGTTCAATATTTACTTAGTGTGGGGAAATCTCATATATGAAAAAAATATATTTTTATGATATATAGTTCTGAAAATATTTTATTCCTGATCTTATATTATTTTAGAAAAAAATGATTCTTTGAGTATCAATAAAACTCTATTTCTCTCTCAAATGATACCCAAGGGATTATGAGAAGCCAGTGCTGGAAATGTAATATAAAATTTCTTTCCAGTCACATGGACCTGAGAAAACATAACATGGGCTAGAAATTGTCACTTTTGGCCCCACACCTGACCTATATAATAACTCTACATTGTGAAAGCAATGAACAAACCTTTGATCAGCTACTAGCCATCTCTATCACAGAGTCTGATTGACAAACACCTAACAGGTCATTTACTGACCCTTACTCCAAATTTCAATTATGAAACAGAAATTAGTTGGAGAAAAATAAGGCATTGTGCCACTCTTTCTCTACTATTAGTCTCCTACTCAATGACATGATTAATATAGTACACAAAATTGGAAAATCTTTCCTCATCGAAATGTGTACTTCTTCTTACCAGACCAGTATAGTGACCTTTTCCTCTAATCTCACAAGCTTCTTGTATACTTCTTGATTTTCACATAGACAAAACAACAGGGGGGCAAGAAGCTGATTGAACTAGAGAGATTAAGCTTTGAGGAATACATTATATTTTAGGATGTGCTTCCACAAAAAACTTTAACGTGTGAGACAAGGGACAACAAGTTATGATACCACAGCATGTGGGGGAATAGTTGTTTTTCTTCTCTTCCTGTTCTTCCCTATTTTCTTCCTTCTTTCTCAATCCTCCTCCCTTCTCCCTTCTTCTTTTGCTTTCTCTTCCCACTCTTCTTCATTATTTTTCTTTCTCTTCATGTATGTATACCATATAATAATGATAAGAAATTATGCTACCTCTTGTGACTAATAGTAAAATAGATATACTAGCTAGAAACTGAAAGTTTGAAACCTCTATTAATATGCCAAGAAAACATGCATTTGACTTAAAGATATATACTGTTTAGGGTAATTGATGCTAGCCATGCTAAAACAATAATGACTCTAAAATGGCAGAGGATTATAGCAGTAAAATCTTGTTCTTTCTGTTCTCTTGTTATACACAAGACATTTTGGAAAGGAAAATGTCATTTAAAAAGACACAATTGGCATGACGGGCAATTTAAGATCCTTCAGAATTTGCAGAGAGCTCAGTATATTCAAGGATGATGGAGGAACATTTGGAACAAAACAAAGCACAGAGAAGTAAATAAAATGAAAAGACATTTTAAAAACTATAGAATTGCACAAAATAAGAAGTAAAAACAACACTGAAATTACATAGAAAAAAACATACCTTTGAAAATAAGTATATTAGCCTCTCCTCATGTTACTCATAAAGACATATCTGATATTGGATAATTTATAGAAGCAAGAGGTTTAATTGACTCACAGTTTAGCATGGCTGGGGCAGCCTCAGGAAGCTTACAATCATGTTGGAAGAGGAAGCAAACATGTCCTTCTTTACATGGTGTCAGCAGAGAAATGCAGAGCAAAGAGGGGGGAAACCCTTTATAAAACCATCAGATCTTTATAAAACCATTCACTATCATGAGAACAGTATGGAAGTAACCACCCCATGATTCAACTATCTCCCACTCGGTTCCTTCCACAACACGTGGGGATTATGGGAACTAAATTCAAGATGAGATTTGGGTGGGGACATAGCCAATCATATCAGTAAGTAACCACAGAATATACATTTTAAAATTAAGAAATAGTTAATTGCATCTAATGATATCTGGATGACATGGCCTCAGTAATAATTAGAAAATTGGAGAAGGAAAGCACATGAATAGACACAAAGACATCAGGATTTTTGCCAAAAAAAATACAGTATGAAGTGTGTATAATGGATGAGATGAGGAAAGGATGAAAGAAAAACTAGATTGCAGCAAATTTAAACTTTACATTTACATTTTATGTAATAATATCGATATATTAACCATTATTTCAGCACTTGCATTATGCCAATTGCTATCTATTACATACCTGTTACATTTAATGCATTGTCTATTTTAATTTTCCTAGGATGTGCTATTTGTAGGATATACCTGTTCTATTATCTGCTATCTGAGTATCTATTATCAGTCAAGAAAATACTGAAGAGCTTTAACAGATAGAATAAAGATGAAGGAGCCATGACAATTTAATATTAAGTAGAATCCTGAACTAAATATTGAAACTACAAAAAGGCATTAGTGGAAACACTGGAGAACCCAAATGAAATCTGTTATTTATCTA